GCAATTGGTAAATTGAAATATCTGGTCAATGAACAGAGCAGTTGGATATCCTGGGACCAGGCATTTTTGTCTATTTAGTGAACGTTTGATTGGATTGTATGTATTGAATTCTAATTTATCACAAAATATGGAGTTGTAAGTGTGGACTATTGAATGCAAACTGTCACTGTTTATGTTAAAGCTAGGTTCTTGCAATTGAACAGTTTGCTTGTTTGGATGTGTGCGGATGATGTTCTCACGAGAGTAATAAAGCAATATGCAGTGATGTTCGATCCTTCCGTACCATCTTGAGTGCAACTGATTCTCCTGTATAAAGGGAAAGATTAAAACAGAATTGGTCAAGAGAAACATTTGACAGCTAAATATTTTACATTTCATACAAAAGGTATGGTTTTACAGTTGCCGACCATATTTAACCATTAAATGCTACACCATTAGGTTCTAAAGCATTAATTACTTAATTTCAAGTGTATTACGTTTTTGGCCAACATAACTTTACTGAAAGGATTGAGAATCTTTCCAATAATAGAATTGGTTTCTGCAAATATCTTCTGCCATATAAAGGACCGTGGGGATAATCAATTATATAATATCCTAGGTGTGGCATCAGTGGACTGGCTGTATCAAAGATCACTGAGTAGAGTAGTATATGTCGTGCACCCATTACACATAACAGGACACAATTAATACACAGAATGTAGCATTCACACTGCTTGATAGAGCTCTGCTGGAGTTCTAAGCCACACTCACAGCTGGGAGTTGGTATATGCACATTTAACTTTGTAGTCCTAATGGTGCTTAGAATGACCTTTAACCTACCTCATGTAGCAAGCTCAATTGGTTAGTGTCAGGTGTGCCCTGCTTCTTACTTGGGGTCTGTTAGGCACTGTTCCAAGTCTCCACTACTTCAGACATTGAGCCAGAAGCTTTCTTTGCAAAGCCTTGTAGTGCCATGCTTAACTCATTGATTGAGACTAATCTGCTAAACTCTCAGCCAAGGAGCCAGCCTTCTGCTGCAAGGCTTAGGCTGGAGCTAATGGAAGCTCATGCTTTGGAGATTCTAGATCCCTGATAGTAGTAGTTGAGCAGGAGAAATACCAACTACGATAAGTGAAAGTGGGTCTCCTCTACAAAATAATTATAGAGCATGGATCTTACCTTGGAAATGAGAGAAAACACCGGATTAAGGTCTCTGAATAGATCTCAGCTCTGGGGTCTTGCAGTAGAATTATACAGCAACTTTGAGGAACATGCAACAAAAATCTCAGATAATCCAATATGAACAATTCTCAGAGGGGATACATCTTGACTGTTCTTGATCAACAAACTGTAGACTGAGGATCAGTACCTGGTCTAGCGGTTTTATAGGGAAGTAAGGATAGGGTGTGGCTGACATTCTGATTAGACATTAAACCAAATTCTGTACAAGCATCACATGCTAATTACTTATTCAAGATGGTACAACTTTTTAACATACCCATTTCAATGTAATTGGTGTATGGGATGAGGCTGGAGAGGCACAAGAGGACCATGTACACATAACTAAACATACTGAAATTTTAATGTTTCCATGAAACTCATCTACTGTTATATCTGAAATAGGAATTTGATCTAGAATGCCAAACTAGTGTAATTTTTAATTTACCATTTGTATGTAACGCATGATTTCTGAGGCTTATTTGGAGGGTACTTTTACATTTTATAAAAAACTTGGCAATATGTATTTATAAAGTTTAACTGTTTGATTTGGGTAATAAAGTTCAACAGCAAATATAAAGTATCAGGATACATTACAGAGCTCCACAGTAATAAGTCAGTAATAAGTCAGCATTGTTCATTAAGGGTCCTGTAACTTATGGCCTTATGTATTGAATACCTGCTGGTGGGAAGCATTAATTATAGTGTGATGTTTATAATGGAGAGCTTTATTACAAGTCAGGGTACAGCAGAATATCCCACTTGATAACGGTCATTTTTGGATTTATGTGGGCTACAAATGGGAGCTCATGACTTTTGATGAAATGGCTTTTCCTACTCCAGTTTACCCAGGGCCCACTAAAACAGTCTTGCTAGGCCTTTGTAATAAGGCTTAGGCTTGCCATTTCTCTGGATAAAAATGTGTTTGACTCTCTTTAGAGGCAGATGCTTTTCTGTGTTTCTAGGTTTCTGTATTCTCCAATATTCAGAGGGATAATAAAATACTTTAAGAAACTGTTGTGCAGGGTGTGAATTTGCTATCTGGCAGTACAGCAGTTTTAAGTCACCAAGGGCAGAACTTTTAATGCCCCACACAATAGTATGAAAGGAAGTTTTTGGAATTTTACTTTGCAAAATCGAGCTCTCTCGTAACACTACCGGAGTAATAAGGTTTTTGGGTTTTGTTTTTTTTGTGTGTGCAGTGATTGACCCCTGGTGTCTTTCTATACAATATTTAATGAATGTAGTGCTTCATCTGAATTTCATAAAATGTAACTTCCATAGGAATTAGTGATATTTGATGTAGGCAGCACTGACTTGTACATTAACAATGGACACTTTCCTTCAAGTCTTTGAGCAATTTAGAGATGGATACAGACATTGGTACATAACGCAGGTTGCATAAAGCATTGTAAGGTTTTAATTCATGAGATTTTCTTGGATTTTTGTTCTAACCTCACTAATCAGTAGAACTGTAGTGCATACCCAGTATGCTGCAAGAGCTCTCCTTGCTGCTCTCCTGTCTTAAAATTTTGGGCTCTCTTTAGGAAGCACTCTGGTCAGTGGGCAGTGGCAGCTCTAGAGTTTGTGAAGCCTTACGTAAATCTCAAACATACCTAGCATACCACCCTTACATTGCAGCCAAAGACGTGAAAGTAAACATTGAAGTTGCTGTTTAGTAGATAGTGTGTTGATCTTATGTATTTAATGTATAATATGGCCCCCAGCAGCACCCCATGTTCAGGCAAATGCAACCACCCCCCCCATGTTTGATTTGTGTGTGTCTCTAGCCAACTCCTTGGTTTTGCACAACTCCCTGTTACAGGTGCCTCATGTCAGGTCCTTATTTAGCCTTGTACTGCAGAGAGTCTCGGATGGAATTTTTTCCCCAAGTAAGTGAGTCACTTACGTTAGACTGTGCGAGTAGGACCTGCCAAAGATGGGGTACATTGACGTTGTGGCAGGCTTATGCAATGTATGATCATATAATGTAACTAAATCCCCATTATTTTTTGTCTAGATTAGGTTTTTTTTTTGTTTTTTTTGTTTTTTAAACCCTTTTAGAAAAAACTTTAGAAAAAACATTGAAACTGTCAACATTGAAGTTGCTGTTTAGTAGATGGGAGAGTGCGCTGGATCTTGGCTATTGTTTATAGCCAAAGACATGAACACGTGTGTGTGTGTGCGCGCGCGCGCACACACACAACAGGGCCAGTGCCATCATAGAGTGCACATTTTGAAGCCGTGCCGTTGCGGCATCGTGGAGAGATGCACTGCTCTGAAAAGAGCAATTGATGAAGCGCCAGGAGCACCTACAATTTGCAAACTACTCACATGCTGGGATTATGCTTTTCATTTCACCAAAGTAGTGGGACCTACACACAGGGCTTGCTTGCACTGCTGGGTAGGGCCAGGGTCATTATTACATCTGTGGTGTGTGGGGATATTTATGGGGTGATATTATACAGTTGAGAATTGCCCACTATTTCAATTCTTAGATCTTAGAGATCATTATGTAAGTGAAATATATTTCATACAAATAAAATAACCATTTGTTATAAAAATATAATTTATTGTGACAAAAATAAAATATTAGGCAGCATGCATGATAATAATCAGTGAATATTTAGTATAACGTCGTATACAATGGCTAAACACTGTATAAAGCTACAGCATCAACTGTCAAGACTTACACGATTTATGAGGGTACTTCACAGACACAGAAAGCAAAACTTCGCACAGCGAAAAGCCATAAAACCTTGGCTCACAGTCAGATCAACTGAGTAACCCTTTCAATGCTGGCTAAATCCTCCTAAGTATATAATATCCTATTCTCATGTAATTTTCAATTAAAATAACATTCCAACCAGCTCATTAATCATTTCCTGGAACCATCCAAAAGTCAAATCTACAGATTCTATAAGCCGAATTTTAATTTGCCTAAAGATCTTATCTTATTTCAGAGCAAATCAACACACATGGATAAAAACAGCGGTATGCTAACACGTGGTAAGATACCAGTAACTATGTAATTATCTGACTCCACCTGCAGAATGGAGTGTTATAACTACATATTCTTTAAGATTCCTCAATTATGGGATCTGATCGTGATTTATCCATGCATGTATCCTGCTATTAATAGATTTTAATTAATATAGATTAATTAACTAAAACCTGTATAATTGCCAGTTAGGATGTAGATGTTTTCATCAGATTAGGTAGTCCCAGGAACTTGAATGCGAATATGATTGGTTGTATGGAGGTGTGTAAGTAATAGAGAAAAGTGATGTTGGTTAGAAAGTAATAGTAAAATTCTATCTAAAGTGATGTCTATTCTAAACTCCAGTAAAGGAGTTTAAGCATGCGTGGGATAAGCATAAGGCTATAATATGAGACCAGGGACTAATGAAAGTATTTAGAAAATTGGGCAGACTAGATGGGCCGAATGGTTCTTATCTGCCGTCACATTCTATGTTTCTAAGTGTCTAGGAGTGTTTCTTGAGTTGTGTCCAAGAGAGTTTGAGAGTTGAGTGTTACTCCGTGTCCTGAATATCTGTCCTGGATCTCTCTGAATGTCCGAATCTGAAAGCCCAAACTAACCTCTCTTCCCTTTGTCCTAACTTTTAAAGGGCCAGACTTTCTGTACGTCATTAGTTGATAAGGCCAATAGGAAACTGTAGGTGTGTCTACGTTATCTATTAGTTTTTGTTCAATAGAGGGAGCAATTGCCTCATCAAAATTGTCCTTGAAAGAGTTAACTTATTTTGATGACGATTCTGACGTCATTTGGCTTATTATTATTTATTATTATTATTATTATTATTATTACCATTTATATAGCGCCAACAGATTCCGTAGCGCTTTACAATATTATGAGAGGGGATTTAACTATAAATAGGACAATTACAAATAAACTTACAGGAACAATAGGTTGAAGAGGACCCTGCTCAATCGAGCTTACATTCTATAGGAGGTGGGGTGTAAAACACATTAGGACAGGAATTTGCAATCAAATAAGGTGGGCTGCCCTTTAGGAGAGGGCAAGAGACAGGTATGTGAGGTAGGGGTTAGTCTTGGAGGCCATAAGCTTTCCTAAAGAGATGGGTTTTAAGGCACTTCTTAAAAGATGCAAGACTAGGGGAGAGTCTGATGGCGGGAGGCAGGCTATTCCATAGGAAGGGAGCCGCCCGCGAGAAGTCCTGCAAGCGCGAGTTGGCCGTACGGGTGCGGACAACGGACAGGAGGTGGTCACGGGCAGAGCGGAGAGACCGAGAAGGGACATACCTATGGATCTGTGAGGAGATATAAGAGGGGCTAGAGTTGTTCAGTGCTTTATAGGTGTGAGTTAGTGCCTTGAATTGACTCCTATAGCACACAGGAAGCCAATGTAAGGACTGGCAGAGGGGTGAGGTGTGAGAGAACCGACTAGAGAGGAAAATCAGTCTAGCAGCAGCGTTCATTACAGACTGTAGGGGTGCAGTACGGCTTTTGGGAAGACCAAGCAGGAGAGGGTTACAATAATCCATGCGTGAAATTATTAGAGCATGGACAAGCTCCTTGGTAGTATCTGGTGCAAGAAAGGGGCGGATGCGGGCTATGTTTTTAAGATGGAATCTACAGGATTTGGCAACATGCTGGATGTGAGGCTCAAAGGTGAGACCAGAGTCAAGTATGACGCCAAGACAGCGTGCTTGCAAGGATGGGCTGATGTTGGTACCACAGACTTGAAGGGAGAGCGAAGGAGGAGGATCAGTATTAGGAGGAGGAAAGACAAGGAGCTCAGTTTTTGAGAGATTGAGTTTCAGAAAGTGGGAGGACATTCAGTCAGAGATGGAAGAAAGGCAAGCAGTGACACGTTGCAGGACAGCAGGGGAGAGGTCTGGGGAGGAGAGATATAGCTGGGTGTCATCAGTGTACAGGTGGTAGGGGAATCAAAATGAGGTAATCAGTTTGCCAAGAGAGGCAGTATAAAGAGAAAATAGAAGGGGACCAAGGACGGAGCCTTGGGGGACTCCAACCGAGACAGGGCGAGGGGAGGAGGTATCCTTAGAAAAAGAGACACTGAATGAGCGTTGGGAGAGATAAGAGGAAAACCATGAGAGGACAGAGTCAGAGACCAAGCGATTGCAGAGTTTGAAGAAGGAGAGCATGATCAACAGTGTCAAAGGCCGCTGAGAGGTCAAGAAGAATTAGTATGGAGTAGTGGCCTTTGGATTTAGCTGCCATTAGGTCGTTAGTAACTTTGATAAGGGCAGTCTCTGTAGAGTGGAGAGGGCGGAAGCCAGATTGAAGGGGGTCAAGGAGAGAGTTGGAATTGAGGAAATGAGACACACGGGTAAAGAAGTCTTTCCAGAAGCTTTGAGGAAAAAGGGAGCAGGGATACGGGACGGTAGTTAGAGGGGGTGAACGGGTCGAGGGATGGTTTTTTTAGTATAGGTACTACAGTGGCATGTTTAAGGTCAGCAGGGACGATGCCAGAAGAGAGCGAGCAGTTGAAGATGTGTGTTAGAGAAGGCACAAGACAAGTGGAGAGAGATCTGATGAGGTGAGATGGGACAGGATCGAGTGGGCAAGTGGTGGGGCGAGAGGAACAAAGAAGAGCAGCCACCTCTTGGTCAGTGGCTGGAGAGAATGTCTGAAGGGTAGGAAAGGCATGATCTATGTGTGATTGAGAAACAAAGGCAAGGAGGGGAGAATTATTTCATTAGCTGTTCAATTTTGTCAGTGAAGTAACATGCAAAGTTATCAGCAGTAAGGTTGGTTTGGGGGGTGGCCACAGCGGGGCGAAGAAGAGAATTAAAGGTGTCAAAGACGCCTGGGGTTGCGGGAACATGAACTGAGAGAGGAAAAATAGGACTGTTTGGCAAGGGCAAGGGCTGCACTGTATGAACACAATATGAATCTATAATGGAGAAAGTCTGACTGGGTGCGAGACTTCCTCCAGGAGCGTTCAGCACAACAGGAGCATCTTTGCAGGTAGCGCGTTGATTTAGTATGCCATGGTTGGGGGCGGGTCCTCCTTGAGGTGCTTGTTTGGAGTGGCGCTGCAGTGTTCAAGGCAGATGTAAGAGTAGAGTTATATATGGAGATGGCCAGTGAAGGACAGGAGAGGGAAGGGATGGACAGCAGTTGTGAATCAATGTCAGCTGACCACTGTTGGAGATCAAGAGAATTAAGGTCCCTCCTGAGTTGAGGCTGGTTGGGCAGAGGTTGTTGGGTGAGGGGGTACGTGAGAGCAAACGATAAGAGGTGGTGATCAGAGAGTGGATACGGAGTGTTGCAGATATTAGATACAGTACATGCATAAGTAAAGATTAGGTCAAGGGTATTGCCAGCTACATGGGTGGGAGAATTTGCCCACTGTGATAGCCCGAGGGAGGAAGTAATTGAAAGTAGTTTATTGGCTGCAGAGGTCAAAGGTGGGTCTATAGGAATATTGAAGTCCCTGAGAATTAGGGATGGAATGTTAGAAGAGAGGAAATAGGGTAGCCAGGCAGCAAAGTGGTCAAGGAACCAGGGGGACTGTAAATAACAGCAATGTTAGCAGAGAAGGGTTTGAAAAGGCGAATTGTGTATTTCAAATGACGGGAAAGAGAGGGAAGGGGGGGTGGGAAGAGGTTTAAAAGAGCAGTGAGGGGAGAGGGGAAACCCAACACCACCACCTTTACATTCAGAGTTTCTTGGGTTGTGGGTAAGATGGAGACCACCGAAGGACAAAGATGCAGGGGTGGCAGTGTCAGAGGGGGAGAGCCAGTTTTCTGTTAAGTCTAGTAAATCTATTGAACGAGAGATGAAGTCATGGACAGCAGTGGATTTAGTTATATTGCAAACAGAGCGTGCGTTCCAGAGGGCAGTATTGAAGGAGGATTTAGAGGAACAAGAGATGGGTATGAGATTAGTGGGGATCCTTGGGTTAGTATGTGCTGAGTTTGTTGAGAGGGGACCGGGGTTTGGAGAGACATCACCAGCTGCTAGGAGCAGAAGGATAGAAAGGAAGTGAAGGTGGGAGTAGGATTTGAAAGTTTTGTAGGAGGGTATGGATGTGGAGGATTTGGAAAGAGTTGGTGGATATAGGCTGGAAAGGTATGTGTAGAGTGCATGGGATGAATAGAGAGGGGAGGGGAGTAAGGTGGAAGTAATGATGATGGTGTTGCCAGGGACAGGTGTTAAAGTGAAAAATAGAAGGGAGAACATTAGAGAAAATGTGTATTATATAGATATGTAGATAATATACAAATACACACAAATATCAATGAGTGTTTAAACCATTGTAAGGATGCAGTGTGTTAAATGAATTCAGGTGAGGAGTGGTTTGATGACTTGATTGGTGTGTTAAGGAAGCCTGCTGATGTGCACTATCTATAAATAAGTTGATGACCGTGGGGTGGGCAATCTTCCAGAGATGATACCTCTGCTCTGAAGATTCAGCAGGACTTGGTTGCTTGGGAGTGTTGGGTGTTAATGCTGTTTTAAGGGGCCCAGTCTCTGCTCTGAAGATTCAGCAGGACTTGGTTGCTTGGGAGTGCTGGGTGTTAAATCTAAAATGACTACCATAACGTAAATTTGCTGTCAGTTCAAAGCGTTTTCCTCAGTCTTTGTGGCAACAACTTTGATCGTAATTTCTAGGATTGACATGTCTAAACTCAATTTCACTCCTTACTTACAATGGGACCTTGTAAGATTTAGAAAGTAAAATTAATTACTTAGTCTTCTCTGTCACTAGTGTCTGTGTTTAAAATTATTTCTATTCCATTAACATTTAAACAGAGCATTCCATCCCCCTGATTCATTGCTTATCACTTGGCTTGTTTACATAATGCATTCCTTAGCTCAGGCTAGTGGCTAGTTACAGAAAGGAAAAATTTTGTCTGTCTTGCCTGAAATCCAAAATGGAGTCAGCTTTGTTCTGAGTGACTTTGGCAATTTACACTTTTAATTTCTATCTTGGCACAAAATGTCTGCCAATATAAATATCCTGACTGGTGGGATTGCTCCATTATACAAACATTTTGGCCTAACATTAATGACCTGATCAAATGGTTTTCAGATTCGCCTCCTCGCTGCAGACTGGCTGTCCTGTCATTGCACCAAACATTAGTGGCCACATCCCTTTATAAGAAACCCCTCACATAAGGATTTTGAATGTAGCCAATAGCCTAAGGGGGGCTCACAAAACAATTCTATCGTACACACACTGACTAAGATGTCAGAAATATGGCTTTCAGAGATTTTAGCAATTACTCTATGCTGGGCTTCAGGATGCCTGTATCACTCTCCTTCCCTAGACACACTCTCCCTTTCCTAAATTTCCTCCTTTTTTTTTTTTTTTCCTTGCCTAGTTCAATAGAATTAAGAAGTCTCCCGGTGTATCACACTAGGGTTATTCAGAAGGTATCTCACATAATGTTATGATTGCATGTTACAAAAATGTCCATGCTACTGCAGTGACCTGTGAGTCCTATATCTGACTGGTTCATAAGGGACTTGTGATATGCAGGATATGACTTAAATAAAAAAAGAGGGGGTTATAGAGGGGCACCTAGTTGCAGGTTAAAGGGTGAAGTGTTTTTACATTAAATTATAAATTTGTGATATATAAATTTGTTAAATATAGGGATAAGTAAACATAATATTCAAAATCAGAGTATGAGAATGGACAAAACCTTGGAGTTACTCAGTAGCTTGCCATTCAGTAAATCCCCGCTCATGTCTCAAAATTTGAGGAAAAAAAGTTTCTCACTATTTTCTAGTACCGTGGCGCATTTTTGTGCCCTTTCATTCCTATCTAAAGTGATGTCTATTCACAGTTGGTAACAAACATTTATATGACCATATATAATCCTTTGTGTTTAATCTGAACCTAGATCAATATAGAACATTTATTACAGAATGTGCTGAATCCCTATATATTAGTGAATGCATGATATAGATATATAATGGTTTTTATTTATCGGTTTGTTTTGATTTGTGATTCTAAATTTCACATTTGGAGTGCAAAAAACGGGGCGCAAGAGAATACTGAGAACAGGCAGCAGCTGAAATAGCCAGCCTTTTGGTGGGTCCTCG